TGCAAAGCCTCAGATAATGCTCCCATTTAGTGGTGCAGCCCACTCTTAGCAATAAGGTTGCTATGGAAACAGCAAAACTCTGATCGGGTGAGAGAGAAGGGATGAGAATGAGAGGAAGATAGGGACAATTTATAGCAGCCTTTTTGTTGAAATAAATCAAACGGAATTTATTAAAATATTGTTTAGGGGACAATCATAGCCTTTGCCTGCAGGCCTTGGGGATTATTTTTGTTGGTGGTTGGGTTTTTTTTGGCATAGGACAAAAAACTGAGGTTTGACTCATATACGCAGTATGTGAGCCCAGTGTATGGGGTTTTTATCTGCAGGTGTATCAGAAAAGCAGAGGAAGACAGAATGGGGTGTATTAACTATGTACAAACAGAATAAATAAATCAAAATTATTTAGAAATATTTTTTAATCAAAATAGCTGTATACCTCTTAAGAAGGTTAGATCATCATTCTTTTTAGCTTGTCTTGATAGGGTCTTCCTATCTTCCTATCCTAACATAATCTGATGTCTCTCATAAATGAAGCTGGATTAGACTGATTAATACATGGGTAAGAGGTGTCTGGTATGTATCTAACTTGCGCAAAGAAAGCTGGTATTTTCCTTTCTCAATGAACTAATCATGAGAAGGAATGTCCCCACAGGATATTAGAAAACTTTATTATTGAAACACTATCTTTTTATGTGAGGAATCAACCATTTGTGATACTAAAGATTCTGCAAGATGATTTACTAAGGCAGAACATTAACCCTTGTGTCCATCATATTACACTGTGAGGAATTACATCCTATTTGCTGATGACTTAATGCTGCATCATAGTAACATTAATTAAAATAATTTTGGGGCTTTTTGTAGAGAGGAATGTCAACTACAATGGCCCTATGGCTACTTTTTGTGTGCTGCAATTAAAACTCATAGCACCATCTATATTCAAGTTTGTCTGATATATTCACTGTTTCTCATAACTTAGCTAGCCCAATTCAGTTTGGATTTTTTTTTCCAAAGTTGGTGTCTTTCTTATGCTCTTTCTTTTAAATTCAGGTTAGTCCACAAGCATTTTTACAGCCACTGGGCAGAAGCTGTTGAAATGCAAATGATATTTCAGGGGAAATTTAACAGTTTCTAACACTTGTTTGTATAAAGTACATGCTTAACCACAGTGTGTTATTGGAACCAGATACTTTTGCTGATTCCGACTATATGATTAATAGTTCTCTAAATGCGGGTCACTGAAAGTCACCTTTTTTTCCATTAAGGAGAGTTTCTTACTACAGGTCACAGAACATAGAAATTGTATTGCTTGTGCTTCCTCTTTGTGGTGATCACACCATTCCTACCTGGTTTAGTTTGTGTATTGACAATACCTCCTACCTTTGCATTTGCAGCAATTTAAATTATTTTAAACCTCATCAATGGAAACCGATTTGTAGTTTCTCCCCTTTCCTCCCTCTAGTCTTCCCCACCACTATGTTTTTTCCCTGCTCTTTGCTGTTAATAAAACTTACTTCCTTCTGAAATACAGGCTGTGGAGGTATTTAAGATACAGAAGGAAAAAAAGGTGGCAGCTAAGGATGAGCCTCTGAGAGCCACTTGGAGGGAGAAAAGGAGGAAGAGTGACATGAGATATGGACTGCATCAGGGTGAGAGAAGGATCCATGAGAAAACAGAACTGAAAAAACAACAGAGAAAAAAATCAAAAAAAGACGAAATTATCAGAGATGCCAAAATTACCAGTAATTGATAAGAAGTGCTGTACTTGGTCAGAGGCAGTGCACACCCCCCTCACTGTGTAGGTATTGCTAGGAATATGTGTAATTTTGCATTTATCAACAATTAATTTCTACCTGCCATTTTATTTTACTGAGTTAACAATGAACTCAGTCTGGCTTATATCCCTGCAAAAAGACAAGAAAAAGGCTCATTTTCTGCTTGCATCCACTTTACTAACTCACCTAGCATAGGCACAGATAGAGAAATGAGGGAGAAATGGTGTTTTGAATGTCTTCTTGTCTGTAGTGCTACAATAACAGTAGTAACAAGGTTTAAGTTTAAGGCTAGCATGGTGTAGTCAGCATGCAAGCTACAGGCATGTTGTTGGAAATGCCAAAGATATTGTCATATTCTGTCAATAGCTAGAATTAACTAGATCCTAATTTTAATTGTAGTTTATGCTTATTACAAGGTTTCCTAATTTCATTCAGTATTTTCCAGAGTTGTATTTGAACCTGCTGCCTGTAGGCAAAATTACTACCTTTTCTAGTCCCAAGAACTATAAAATGCAAGGTTTTAAAATGTTCACTTCTCCCAGTTTAGGGCCAGATTTGTGAGGGAGACTGGTTCCTAATCAGACACTGAAATAAGCACCAGATTTCAAGCACTGGGTAATTCAGTGGCTTCTACTGCTCTGCAACATCTAATGTCAGAACTCTACATCCATAGGATGTCTCAGTAGCATTTCTGTGTCCAGTGAATCAGCGTCAGAAATTAGTGCTTCTGCTGGTGCTCTGGGAAGCTTTTATCCTCTAGCTATCTCTCTGCCTCCCTTTCAGTGCAGTGATGATCATACTGGTTTTCACTATCTGCCCTGCTAACAGAATCATAAAATCATAGAATGGCTCAGGTTGGAAGGGACCTTAAAGATCATCATCGAGTTCCAACCCCAATAGCATAAATAAGAATATGCATTTTTTTTCAAGCAGGGTTTTGGGGGGTTTTGTGTGTTTTGTTTTCTTTTTTTTTGCATCAGAGTTCTCTGAAGGCAAACCTGTAAAATCTGTGAATCTGCTGGCGCACACAGAGAGCAATCGAACATCAAAGGAAATGTGCACATTCATGTTCCCATCCTGAATGTAAATGAACCAGCTGAATGAGCACGTCGGGGAGGAACGCGGATCTGACTCCCCAGTTTTCCTCACCTGCCATCCCTGTGGACAACCTATGTGTTTCTCCAGAAACACCCTCCCTTCCACAGGGGCTTTGCAACCCACCCTTGTCTGCTCAGACGCTGGCTTCATTTTCTGGTGTTGCTGCAAAAAAGGTGCCGCCTGTGCTCGAAATGGGATCTTCCACTATTTAGCAAGGCTTTGCTGAATGAGTCATCAAAGCCGGCTGGTATTGGCTGGGCTGGTGAGCACCCAAGGGATTGCCTGGCAGAGGCTCCGAGGCCTCTCTTCATTCACAGAAATGTGGGGATGCTAGCCAGCCCTTTCATTCACACTCACAGAATCTCATTCACATTTTGCAGTTTCGCTAGCCGGTTCTAATGAAGAGATCCTTTTGGGACCAATAGGGTTTTCCGGGCAGTAGAGACATAAAAATAGGCTATGGTGTGTATATTTGCTGTTGCTATGCTAGGAGGATGAAGAGAGGAATGAATGCTGTGTGGATGCTGTAGCAGGTTTGCAGTGTGGTGATGAAAGGCTATTCCGCAGTAGAAATTTCTGATCACTAGAAACCTGCTTTTACACTGACTAGGACATTGCCATTACTCATCATTGCTGGGATAAGAGGTGCTGACTTAATTTAATGTCATGAATATACTAATTAAATACCTGTATTTGAGCTGTCTGTTTCACTGTATTTGCACTTTGTATACTGCAGCTTTCAGTCATGAGAGAGGGAAGGAATTCCATAGGATTTTTCCTTTAGATTGTGCTGCAGTTAATAATTTGTTTAAAAAATAACTTTGCACTATGCAACTCTCAGGTTGGAATTTGTTTATAATGCAGTGTATTGTCCTTCATCCAAAAGATGTTTTGCAAAGATCAATTAATAGAAAAGAACATGTGGCTTGAGATGGGCATTGTGTACCACAGTGCTGTACATATGTTATATATTCTTTTTAAATGTAGAAGAAATGAAATAACTGTTTTCTGCATGTTTTGCTAGTTCTCAGATCAAGTGTTTGTGGCTGACATTTATGCTTAATAAGACCTGGTGCATTTTTTTTTTTTTCTCTGCAGGATGTCAGTTTTTTGGTACCTGGACTTCTGAATATTCTTTTAGATGTTTCAGTTTTTGAGAATTAAACCAAGCATTGCAATGAATTGAAGATTCTCTTCATGTTTTTCTTCTGAGTGATTATCAGTGATGAAAGAAAAAACAGCTGTTGAGCCTGTTGTCGGACGTCAGAAAAATACTTTTCTTCACATATAGGTACTTTATGTAATTGCTGCATTAAAATATAAGGTTGTTGTGCCATAACAGTGGAGAAGGATTTCTTTCTCGAGTGGATGTTACAGTTTCTGTGAGAGGCAGCCTTGACACAAAGGTACTTGTAAAGTCTATTAGGCTGCTTTTGTCAAAGAAGATGTATATTCTTCAGTTCTATTGTCTGTTTCTAAAATACTTGTGTCCTTAAAGGTTTTCTGATAACCTTTAAGGTGTCTGTGTTTTGCTGGGGCAGTGGGGAAGAAGGGGGAGTATAGATGTGTAAATATGATCCAGATACTTGCTATCTAATTTTGACTTGTTTATAGATTTGCAAATATATGAGGTGGAAGAACATTTAAACAGAAGAAAGTGCAGTGTTTCGTAAAGGCTGTTAATTCAGTTTTAAAGGTAAATTGCCTTTGGTAGCAAAAGGGGGGGGAAGGGGGAGAGGAATTAAAGGTTGGAAGGAAATGTCTGTTTGAGAAGATAGGAAAAGGAAATTTGAGAATTGATTGGTGCTAGTGTGCTGTAAGTGGGTGGAGGGTTTTTTTTTCTTTTTTCGGTTTTTTTTTTTTTTTTTTTT